CATTTGATCTGGGGAAGAACCACCACGTGTGGGTGACGGCTCCAGACCAGTGAATACTCCGGGAGGTGTGGATGACGGCTCCAGACCTCCAGTGCATACTCAGGGAGGATGGGCCCTGCCCCATAAGGAAGTGGTGTTAAGGGTGTAGGGGGATGGACTAGAGGGTAGATGTTGGGACAGCATCGTGGCTCAGCAGGTGCAGTACTTGGAGCCACGAGTAGTTTAGGAGAGATCCTGAGGAGTTCCCCAGACACCGAGTGCCACCTGAGCAAAGATCTCTATCCTTAGGATCCAGCTGTGATCCAGCACCGACCTAGCCCGCAGTATGCCACGCTTGATGTCTACAACCCTTTTGAGACCCGGGAGGTGAGTTAGTGAACACAGGACTAGGAAGGGGTGGAGTATGCCAGTGGTCCCTGTCTTTTGGGGACAGGGGACTTCGCTGCATGGAGAGGACAGAGGAAGCCTTGTGATCTTAGGTCCCCGAGAGACACCAGTCCACCATAGATGCCTGATCCTTTGAGCTGTAAGAGGCTGTCTTGGGAGGATCTAGAGTCTGTAGGGCCTGAACCAAGCCACTATCTGGAAACACTTTTGAAGAAGGTAAAGATCGGAGCTGGTCAGGGTTGAGAAAAATGTGGTTAGGTGTACAGTTAGAATGCAAGGGTGTGGAAGACTACACTGTTCTGCAGGATAGAAAATAATTTAAGAAGTTAAGGGAGTGGGTATGTAGATAAGTATGTACTTCGACAGCTTGAAGATCATAATCTGACAGGTGTGCAGGGATGCTCAAGTCACAAGAGAGTTCAACCATCATTGACACAAGCATTAGCTTCCTAACAACTGTAACTGTTGCCCCAGTTAATGAATGCTGGTTCTAAAGATTTTGAAATAGGCTCTAGATTTCTGTGTTATGAGGTACCAGGTGGTCTCCAAGATCTTTTCTCCAACAGCCAGCCCCAGCTTACGAGCCTCCTGCTCCTGCCCCAGCACCCTTGCCTCCACCCTCAGCTCCCACCTTACAGTCCTCACGAAAGCTCAGCCCCACAGAGCCCAAGAACTATGGCTCCTACAGCACTCAGGTAAGGGATGTATGTGCACGCAGCGACAGGGAGAGGGACCCTGAGACCCAGACCTCACACCTCCTTCTGCTCATGCTGGGTAGGCCTCAGCTGCTGCAGCCACAGCCGAGCTGCTAAAGAAGCAAGAGGAACTCAACCGGAAGGCAGAAGAGTTGGACCGCAGGGAGAGAGAGCTGCAACATGTTGCCCTGGGAGGCACAGCTAGTAAGTGGGGCCAGGTAGATGAGCAAGAGCATTTGATGTTGTAGAAGGAGCAGATGAAAGGCCTTAAGAGCACGGGTTGTACAAGTTTCTCTCTTTCTTTCTTTCTCTCCCCCTGCCCCTGCCCCTGCCCCTGTCTCTCTCACTCTTGCTCCCAAGTGTTGGGATTACAGGCATGTGTGCCACTACACCTGGTGGCACAATGTTTAGATGTTGGAAATCTTGTGATAATAAGCATTTGCTACTGTTACTATTTTTCTTGGCCTCATCTTTGGAGATCCAGGATTGAGAGGACTTGAGGGTGGAGGGAAGGGACACTGGTTCCCCAGTTGGTCTCTATCTCATTTCTGAGGTCTTCCTGTTCTCTGTGCTTTTACAGCTCGACAGAACAATTGGCCCCCTCTACCTTCATTCTGCCCAGTCCAGCCCTGCTTTTTCCAAGATATCTGCATGGAGATCCCCCAAGAATTTCAGAAGACAGTATCTACCATGTACTACCTCTGGATGTGTGAGTAGTGAGAAACCTTTTGAAGGAAGTCACAGGTAGATCTCTTAGTGCCCTGAAGTCCGTTCACTGAGAACCACACATTTCATTTCTCCTCAGCATTTGAGAAAAAAAGCTAATTTCTCCAGAAGTCTTACTGTTATTTTTTTTATTATTACTATATTTAGGACTTACTTGAACCTATTAACCAGCCTGCTAGTAAATGTATGTTCTTTCCTCTTCTTTTTCCTTTGTTCCCATGTATAAACTTATTCTGATTTCTTCTCTCTCTCTCTCTCTCTCTCTCTCTCTCTCTCTCTCTCTCTCTCTTTTGGTGGTTCTGTGGTTCAATCATAGGGCCTCATGCATGCTAGGCAAATGCCTTACTACTGAACTGCATTCGCTTTATTTTGAGGTGTGAAGTCTTGCTGAGTTGCCCAAATCAGCTTTGAGTTTGTTGTCTTCCTGCCTCAGTGGTAGTAGTACTACCTTGTACTTGGGAGTACAACCATGCTGCCTGGCTGTATTTTGAGTTCTTTAAGAGTATGCAAGAACCCAGGTATGGTGGTACACAATTATAATCTCAGCTTCTCAGGAGGCTGAGGCAGGAATATTACAAATTCTGGGCCAGTTTGAGCAACTTAGTGAGACCTGGCCCCAAAATAAAAAAAAAAGTCTAGTAGTGGATATCCAACTCCACAAACACATAAAGCTCTTTGTGAGGGGATCAGTGGAAATGAGATTTGCATCTTGTGTGTTCTTAGATGAGTGGATTCTGTAAAGGTATAAACTGTCTGCCTTTCTCTGTGATGACACATTTGTCAAGGATTGTGAGGTAGGGGAAAGAGCCTCCACTCCAGTCCAGAAGCCCCAGTCACACTGTCCTTCTTCCCCATAGGCAGCACTGCAGCTCTTCTTCTCAACTTCCTTGCCTGCCTGGCCAGCTTCTGTGTGGATACCAGCAAGGGCTCAGGCTTTGGGCTTTCTCTACTCTGGATCCTTCTTTTCACCCCCTGCTCCTTCGTATGCTGGTACCGCCCCATGTACAAGGCTTTCCGGTAAGTGGAGGAGAAGGTAATAGGGTGCCTGGGGCAAGCCCCCACCTACTCTTCAAGCCCTAATTCTCCTACCCTCCCTACTTTTTCTCTTTACAGGAGTGACAGTTCATTTAACTTCTTCGTGTTTTTCTTCATTTTCTTCGCCCAGGATGTGATCTTTGTCCTCCAGGCCATTGGCATCCCAGGTTGGGGTTTCAGGTCTGTGAGGCTTCCAGTCCACTCTCACCCCTCCATGCTCCTCCTTCAGACCAAACCAGCACTAGTTACTTGGGTGAGGGTTGCTCAAAGAAAGGTGTTGTTTTTTTCTTGAGCCATGCTAGTTTAAGGCAAGAGAGGATATACTTACCATATGAGAGTCCAGCTAACACTGGGCAGGGAGAGGTTGAGGGGAAGAAGGTATGTGGTCCATCTGAGAAGGCTTTCTGGAGGAGACATATATGACAATGAATGAAGCGAGAGGGGTCTGATTTTGATGGAAGATGCCTACCAGAACTTGGAGAGCTGGAAGCTAATGGTTCAGAAACTGGAATTAAAATGTAAAGAGTGGATGTAGTGGGGATTGTGGTTTTTGGAATGCTGCCAGACTGGCAGGGGTTGGAATAGGGCATGTTTATGACATACCCCATGGAGAAGCTGGGACAATGGGAGCCAGCCCTGAGCCACCCCCTTCTCACCAGCACATGCCTCCCACAGTGGCTGGATCGCTGCTCTGGTGTTGCTGGAGACCAACACTGCTGTAGCTGTGCTTATGCTGCTGGTCGCCCTGTTCTTCACTGGCATTGCTGTGCTGGGAATTGTGATGCTGAAGCGGGTGAGGGGCTGTGTGGGAGGTTGGGCCCGGAGGGTGAGATCATGGGTCCCAAGGGGCCGCAGTGGAACATTTAAGAGGATTTTCAGCTAATGGACTTCTGGGCACTGTAAGTGTGCTTCCAGAGAGGGCCAGGCACAGGAGGCAGCGGGTGGGAGCGGCCCTGGAGGTGGGCGGGTGGGGCAGCAGTGGCTGCTCTCTACTGTAACCTCTACCCTCTTCTTGCAGATCCATTCCTTATACCGGCGCACAGGTGCCAGCTTTCAGAAGGCCCAGCAAGAATTTGCTGCTGGTGTGTTTTCCAACCCAGCAGTGCGAACCGCAGCTGCCAACGCAGCCGCTGGGGCTGCCGAAAATGCCTTCCGAGGGCCGTGAGCCCTAACTGGGACGTCCTGGCCCTGCCACTTGAGGGAGCTCACAAAGCCCCTATCCCTGAGGTCTCCAGGACTGGGGAGAGACATCACTGCTTGATGGCTTCTCTACAGTGCCCCAAGTCCATGGCCATGACTGCTGAACCTGATGTGGAGGTGCCAGGAGGCCACTGTGACCCGGTCGTTGCTCGGCTTCCCCTCATCAGACCACACCCTGCCACTACTCACACACTCCAACCTAGCATCCCTCTGCTGTGCCAAGGCTGTTGCTTCAGTTATTTAAATAAAAAGAAAAGAAAGTGGAACTGGAACTCAACTGTTTGCTGAGCTTTTATCAGAAACTAGACTTTTCACTTTTTTTCTTTCTTTCATTTTTGGAACCGGGGATTGAACTTAAGCCCTTACGCTAGCCAGGCAAGCACTTATTCTACTGAGCCATCCTCCCAGCCCCTCACTTTTCTTTTGAAGTATTGGGGAATTGAACCCGAAGCTTTTATATTGAGCTATATCTGCAGACCTCCCCTGCCCCTTTAAATTTCTTTGTCTTGAGATATTAAGACTGACGCTTGCTAAGTCACTGAGTTGCTTGGCTCAAACTTATGATCCTACAATTGAGCTCTAAGAGCAGACCGGGAGGTCCTGGGGTGGAAGCAGTCTAGGCTGCGGGGAAGGCGGGCTGCGCTGAGTCCAAACAGCGCTGTGGGGGTGGGGGGCGTGGGGCACCAGCGAGCCTTGTTTCCCACCTCTCCATTAAAGACAAGGAAAAGCCCGCTACTTCTTTCTGCCAGGAACTGCAGCTGGGCGCCTGCGAAGTTGGGTGGGGCGCAGGCGGGCACCAAAGGTAGAGCTAGCAGCGTGAGCTGGGTCCAGGGGAACCCCGGGGGCAGGGCACCTAGTCCCGCGCTCCGCCCCGGTCTCAGTCCAGACTACAGCTCCCGGGGTGCACCGCGCTGCGCGTCCCTCCCCGCACCCTGACCACCCCACCCCCCGCCTCTGTACCCGACCCGCTGCGGCCGAGCTGGGGGAGCCGAGCGTAACGGAGCTAGAGCCGGGCGGGAGCTGGGCGAGAGACCCAAGCGAGGTGGGGCTGCGGCCTCCCCCTAGGAGGCCAGGATCCTGCTGCGCACTGAGGGCGCCCCGACCGCGCCCCTCGAGTCTCCCAGCTCCCACCCTCTTTGGACCTCTTGCAACCATCCCGGCTCAGCACCGCCGCTCTTTGCTCTCTCTGGGACCAGCCCTTCTCGGCGCCCTTGTACCCTAGGGAGATGCGATGAGTTGGTGCCCCCGCGTCCTCCTCTCTGCCCCGGGCACTGTGCCCGCCGAGTGCCCGTGGTGGGGAGGGAGCACCCAGCGGTCCCTCCGAGACGCCCCTCGGGTGGCTCTCCCTTCAGCTGGAGTCCTTGGGCAGTGCCCCCAGGGACCCAGCCAGGGGGTGGGCTCTAGAACGAGGTGGGTGGAGAGGAGAAAGGACGGGGCCTTGGACGCCTCTGAGATGCTCCCAAGCGCCAGGGGGTGCCGAGCGAGGTACAAGCAGCCAGGCAGCAGGCATGATGCCCTCGCCTAGCGATTCCATCCGCTCGCTGACCAGCCGGCCCAGCACCCGGGGCCTTACGCACCTCCGTCTCCACCGACCCTGGCTGCAGGCCCTACTCACGCTGGGGCTGGCCCAGGTGCTTCTGGGCATCCTGGTGGTAACCTTCAGCATGGTGGCCTCCTCCGTCACCACCACCGAGAGCATCAAGAGGTCCTGCCCATCTTGGGCCGGGTTCTCGGTGAGTTGGGTACACAGGGTGCCCAGTGGCTGGGTGGGAGAGGCTCCTGGGCCCCACCCCTCCTCACCAGCTTCAAGCCTGTATCCTTGCCTCGCCTTGTCCCCCTCTTCTGGTCCTGTCCCTTCTGGCAGGGCTGGGTGCATCCTGTGATGAGGGGCTTACTCAGGTGCCTCCCCTGCCAGCCTGAGCCTGTCCCCACTCTGTTCCCAGCTGGCGTTCTCCGGGGTAGTTGGCATTGTGTCCTGGAAGCGGCCTTTCACTCTAGTGGTAGGTGCCAGGGTCCAGTGCCCCCTGGGAGGCAGATGCCCAGCACCAGAGGGGGTGCCCACTGTGCCCTCGTGAAGGGAAGTGGCTTTCCAGTTGGTGCCAGGCAGGCACAGAAACGTCTGTGGAGGGGGAGACTCCATCATGGCAGAGGGGTACTGATAAAGATTTCAATCCTGCGTTGGCACCCTCTTTCCCCAGATCTCTTTCTTCTCCCTGCTTTCGGTGCTCTGTGTCATGCTCAGCATGGCTGGCTCTGTTCTCTCCTGTAAGAATGCTCAGCTGGCCCGGGACTTCCGACAGTGCTCCATGGTGAGATGTGAGGAGTGAGAGCTGGAAAGAACTGGTTGGGGGAGGTGTGCAGGACACTTGAGTTTGTCCTGACCCAAGCTACCTTCCCCTTCTACTCCTACACAGGATGGAAAGGTCTGTGTGTGCTGTCCCCCAGTTCCCCTACCCCGGCCCTGTCCAGAGCCAGGGCAGGAACTGAAAATTTCCCCTAATTCCACTTGTGATGAAGCCCGAGGGGCCCTCAAAGTAAGTGGGCACCTCCCCCCTATCCCTGCCAGTCCTTCCCCCATATCTTCATGTTTCCAGTCCTTGCCTCCCTTCCCAGAATGCTCACAGGCCTGGAAAATGTGGTTTGGTTTTGTTTTGGGGGATTCTGGGGGTCAAATCCAGGGCCTCACCCATGCTAGCAAGTGCTCTAGCACTGTGTTCCAGGGAAGCCTGGGGAATATATGGGACCCACACCTTCCCAAACCCCACTGCCTCCCTTCTTCCCTGCTGCAGAACCTGCTCTTCAGTGTCTGTGGGCTCACCATTTGTGCTGCCATAATCTGTACCCTCTCTGCTATTGTCTGTTGCGTTCAAATCTTCTCTCTGGACCTTGTGCACACGGTGAGAGGGGGCCCGGAACCAGGCATCAGCCAGGCACGAGGAGCCAGGGGTGTGTGTGCCGGAACTGGGCCCGAGGGCCAGTGACCCCAGCGCTGGCTTCTGGGCACCTGGGGCTGTGGCTCACCTTTTGGGTGTCTGTTGGAGGGATATTTAGAGGGCCAAGGAGAGATTACAGGGAATTGCTATGTGATTTCAGTGTGAACCAGAAGAGGGGGCTCTAGAGTGTAGGACTGGGTGGGATAAAATCAAAAAGACCCTAGATGGAGACTCTGGATAGGAAGAACACTAAAGTGGAGGGGTTACTGGGTAGGCTCAGAGTGATGCAGGGTTCAGGAAGAGATGGTTGTATGTGAGGGCAGGAGCAGAACTTGAGCTTCTTAGATGGGGGACAGGCCCTAAAGATAACAGAGAGGAGAGAAAAGTGTAGGCGGTGAGGAAGAGCCGGACTCCCAGAATCCAGGCTGGACCTACTTGCCCCCAGCAGCTGGCCCCTGAACGCTCAGTCTCAGGCCCCCTGGGGCCGCTCACCTGTGCATCCTCGCCTCCGGCCCCTCTCCTTCATACCATGCTGGACTTGGAAGAATTTGTACCACCTGTGCCCCCACCACCCTACTACCCCCCAGAATATACCTGCAGCTCTGAGACAGACGCGCAGAGGTGAGGCCAGGGGAGTCCTACAGGGGAACTGAGGAAGCGGGCTGGGGCTGGGCCTGGAATAGTGGGGGGCAGTTACTTTCCAGGCCTTGATCTTCTCCCTCATCCTGCCAGCATCACATACAATGGCTCCATGGATAGCCCTGTGCCCTTGTATCCTACTGATTGCCCCCCTTCGTATGAAGCTGTCATGGGCCTTCGAGGAGACAGCCAGGTGAATGCAGGGGCTGGGGTAGGCCAGAGAGCTGGGGAAGAGTCTGAACAAGCTTTGTGGGTCAGGATAATTATACTTCTTGGGCTCTTTATAATCCTACCACATCTTCTGTCGTCTTTGATCTTTCCCAAGAGCCTGGTCTGGTGGGTGGGAGGACAGGTACTAGGACCTCTGTGTTACACATATGGAAAGTCAGCCAAGTGACAGTGCTGCGCTGAGATCTCGGAGTTCCGCCCAGCACATGACAGTCGCACAGTTACTGTGCAGGGCTGAACCTCTTGATTTTCTTGTCCTCTGCAGGCCACTCTGTTTGATCCTCAGCTTCATGACGGCACCTGCATGTGCGAGCGAGTGGCTTCCATTGTGGATGGTGAGGAGAGTGGGGTGCGATGGATGAGGCAGGGAGGTCCGGGACAAGAGGGCGGGTGGGGGCCTCAGCTGAAGATTTAGGGACAAAAGGAGGGCTGTGGCTTCTTGGACCCTGGATCTTCCTGTCCGTTCTGAGACAAGCTGGAGATGGACTGGCCCAAAGGCGGCGCTGCCGGGCTGGGGCACGCCGGCAGTGCTACCAGCGCCCTCTGCTGCCCACAGTGTCCATGGACAGCGGGTCTCTGGTGCTGTCGGCCATCGGCGACCTCCCGGGAGGTTCCAGTCCGTCCGAAGATTCGTGCCTGCTGGAGCTGCAGGGCTCCGTGCGCTCCGTCGACTACGTGCTCTTCCGCTCCATCCAGCGCAGCCGCGCCGGCTACTGCCTCAGCCTGGACTGCGGCCTGCGGGGCCCCTTCGAAGAGAGCCCCCTTCCCCGGCGGCCGACGCGCGCCGCACGCTCCTACTCTTGCTCGGCCCCCGAGGCCCCGCCCGCGCTGGGCGCCCCCACGGCCGCCCGCAGCTGCCACCGGCTGGAGGGCTGGCCGCCTTGGGTGGGGCCCTGCTTCCCCGAGCTGAGGCGACGGGTCCCCCGCGCAGGCAGCCGCCCTGCAGCCGCCCCGCCCGCCCGAGCCCCCGCGCGGCGCTTCAGCGATAGCTCAGGTTCCCTCACCCCGCCGGGGCACCGGCCGCCTCACCCCGCTCCCCCGCCCCCGCTGCTGCTACTGCCCCGGTCCCACAGTGACCCAGGCATCACCACCTCCAGCGACACTGGTGAGCGCCCTGCCCTGCCGCAGGTTCTGGGAAGGGAGAATCCCGGAGGTGGCAGGGTCAGGGACCAGGCCCCACCAGGATTTGGGGCCCTGCTGAGATCTCTGAAAAGGAGAGGAGAGGGTGACTCCTACGGTGCCCTTCCTGGGACCAGACATCCATCCGTTGCCTAGTGGCTACAGAAACCCCTCCCCCTTTTCTGGATTGGCGATTGAACCCTTGGCCTTCATTCACACTGAGCTACATTCCCAGCCCTTTACAATTTCTTTTTCACTTAGAGATAGGGTCTTGCTAAGATAGTAAATTGCCCAGGCTGATCTTAAACTCAGGATCCTCCTGCTTCAGCCTCCTAGTCAGAGTGCTGGGATTTCAGGTGTGGGCAAGGATTTGGTATATACCAGTTCCACAGTGTCCAAACTCACACTATTACCTATCTACTCTCTGCCTTAGTTTCTCACCTGTAAAACAGGTATAATAGCAGCATCTCAACTACTAGAGAAAATGTTAGTAGTTGAGGGCGACCTGAAGGTACCCAGGCTCCTTTGCCCTGGAAAGCTAAGCAGGGCCCAGGTTGGTGCCTAGAAAGCAGATGTGCCAAGTGATACACCAACGCCTCATCACTGCTGTGCAGTGCCAAGAGCCTGGGGACTGTGGTGTAATGACAGTACTGTAGTCACTGTCTCCATGTACTGTACCTGCCATCTAGTTGCTGCAAGTGCGGCCAGAGATAATGGTCACTTGCTTGGAAATCGGGTGTGGCAGTGTGCTGGGAGGGCACACGTGTCCAGAATGTCCCCATTTAGTCTCTGTCCTTGTCCTCCTTAGCTGACTTCAGGGACCTTTATACCAAAGTGCTTGAGGAAGAAGCTGCCTCCATTTCCTCTGCAGATACAGGTCAGGCAGGTAGTTGGCAACTGGGGTGAAGGGTCGGAGGCACAACTTAGTTCTCTTGCACCCCACATTCCACTGTCCTCTTGCCTTCTCTGCAGGGCTTTGCTCTGAAGCCTGCCTGTTCCGCCTGGCCCGCTGCCCTTCCCCCAAGTTGCTCCGTGCCCGCTCAGCCGAGAAACGGCGCCCTGTGCCCACCTTCCGTAAGGTTCCCCTGCCCTCGGGCCCTGCACCTGCCCACTCTCTGGGAGACCTGAAAGGAAGTTGGCCAGGCCGGGGTCTGGTCACTCGTTTCCTCCAGATGTCCAGGAAGTCACCAGATCCCACTGGGTCAGGAGTCCATGCACATAAGCAGGTAGGCATTAGGAGAGTCAAAGAAAGATCCCTGAGAAAGCCTGGAGCTTCAAGCTGGGCCACCCCATACCATCTTCTGTGTTCCCTCCAGGTGCCCCGGAGCCCATGGGACCAGCCAGGCCGAGAAAGCCTCCACCTCCGGAGCTGTGGTGATCTGAGCTCTGGCTCCTCCCTGCGGCGCCTCCTGTCTGGTCGCAGGCTCGACCATGGAACTCGCCCACACAGCCTCAGCCTCAGCGGGGGCAGCCAGGAGACCGGGCTCTGACCCGGATTTTTTGTCAACTTAACAGATCCACGTGAATGCTGGGGCCACAAGCACCAGCCGGGTGGGACCAGCAGCCCCCAGCGCCTCTTTGCACTGGCTGGCACACGAAAACCTGCTGTATACCCCAAAGTGCCCCTTTCCCTCCTACCTTTGGGGGCCTCTGCTGCTTTCTGCCCCTCTGAACTGGGACAGTTTCTGTACTGTGCTGCATGGGAGTTCAACTACAGGGGAGGTGCCCTGCTTACAGTGTGGGAACAGAAAAAGCATTAAGCTCCCTCCAGTTTGAGAGTGGCCGTTTGCGTTCTCAGGAGCTTGCTGGACAGGGAAAGGCAGCACATCTTGGCATCTAAGTCCAGGGGCATTTGTGCCTGTGCAGTGGGGTGGTAAGGCAGGCATGAAGAATCAGAGAAATCCAGGTGGCCTCAGCTCTGCCACCTCCAGCTGCATGACCTTGGGCAAGTTATTTAACCTCATTTGCCTGACCAGTAAAATATTGTGAAGATGAATGTTTGTAAAGCTCTTAATATAAAAGTAAGCCTTCAATAAATTTCAATTTTCCCCATCTCTTCTGGATACTTCTAGTTTTTTTAAAATATGGGGAGATATGGAGCATGGGACATAGCTCAGTGGCACAGCACCTGCCTAGCAAGTGTAAGGTCATGAGTTTGATTCCTGGCACTAAATAAATAAATTTCTACCTGAGGAGCCCAGGGTGGCCTGTTACTTGAGTCTTCCTGCCTCAGCCTCCTGAGTAGCTGGGACTTACAGGGAGGTGCCACTACAAGTGGCTTCTCATGAGCTTTTAAGGTTTTTGTCTTGTTTTGTTTTGTTTTGAGATAGGATCTTGCTTGTCTTCTAGGCTGGGCTTGAATCTGTGGCGATCCTCCTGCCTCAGCCTCCTGAATGCTGGGATTACGGATGTGCACCATTTGATCTGGCTGTCCTGAATAGTTTAAAACCTTTGTTGTTGTTGTTGAGGCAGAGCTAGCTATGGCCTTGACTTCACTGTGTAGCCCAGGCTGGCCTGGAACTTGCTAAAATCTTCCCGCTGAGTGCTGGGATTATAGACATTCATTACCACACCCAGCTTTCTCCTCGAAAACTCAATATAGGATTTCCAGAAAGCACATTGTATCTCTGCTTCTTTGCATAGCAAAAGGCTTGCTTTCTTCTTCCTCTGCACTCCTGTACATCTATGCTGTCCTTACCCGCTCACCTCAGGTTCCTTTCTAACTGTGTTAGTATTACTACCGGTACTGCTTCTCTCTCTTCCCCCGTCCACCCCCTGGACAGGGTTATCTCACTGTATAGCTCAAGCTGGCTTCGAACCCTCTATGTAGCCAAGGTGACCCTCTTGCCTCAACCTACCTAGTGCTAGAATTACCAGTGTACGCCACCACATCAGGCTAGCCACTGCTCTGGACAAAATTTTCTTTTTTTTGCGGAACCAGGAATTGAACTCAGACCCTTGCGCTTGCCAGGGAAACGCTTATTCCACTTATTCCACTAAGCCATCTCCCCAACCCTGGACAAAATTTTCAATGATTGTTTCTCCTGCCTATGTCTCACCTGATCTCAAGGCAGCAATTAACCCAGATAATCACCGTTTTTCTTCTTAAATTTCCCCTTTTCTTGTCTTTTAAGATAACATACTATTTTCCCTGTTATTTTAACTGTCTGTATCTCCTTTCTTGGCTTTTACACTTGTGCTAGACTGCTGAACACCAGCAGTCCCCAGGGTTCTCTCTACAGCACTTTTTTTTTTTTTTTTTTTTTTTGACACAGGGTCTCACTGTAGTTCAAACTTGCCTTGAACTGTGTAGTCGGGGTCTCGATTTTTCAGCTATCCTCCTGCCACAGCCTTACCAGTACTAGGGCTGTACATGTGCACCACGACACCTGACTCACATCCTTCTTTTCTGCCTCACTTTCATGTTTTTACGTTGGCGGCCCTGCTGAGATCCACATATTTATTATTTTATTTTCTGAGACAGGGTCTTGTTGTGTAGTTCAGCTTGGGCGTGAACTCATCATGTATCCCAGGCTAGCCTCAGCCCAGTGATGATGCTCCTGCCTCAGCCTAGGAGCACAGGGGCTCACCACCACACCAGGCTGAGGTCCATGCGTGTAAACACTATGTGCTAATGGATAGCTGCAGGTTCGACCTCTGCCCAGTTGCAAGCTCCAAACTCCAGCTCAACATTTCTGCTTGGATACCTCAAATCTACCATGGCCACAGCCTGGTGACACACTATTCCGTCTCTTTTCTCTCTTTAAGTGGCATTGTAGAATTCAGTCTGAATTTGAATTATGTAGTCCAGGCTAGTCTCAAAATTTCAGCAATTGTCCTGCCTCCGCTCCTCAAGGTGGGATCACAGGTGCATATCACCACACTCAGCCCACACAGGAATTTTTTTTTTTTTTGACATGTTCTCCTATAGTTCAGGCTGGCACTGAGTTCACTATGTAGCCTCAGTTGGCCTTGGTGGCAATCCTCCTGTCTCAGCCTCTTGCCTCTCAGCCTCCCAAGTGCTGGGATTACACATGTGTGTAGGAATTCTCTCTTTGTTTTCCCCACATCTAATTATTCCTTTAATTGGGAAACTACTGATCAAATAGCAACTGTGATGTAATTTCAAGAAAACCTAAGTTCAAAAAAGTGACAGCAGCAGCAGGCCAGCAAAGGCTGGCGAGCAGCCGCACACTGATGCTGGCAGTGTGAGCACACGGGGTATGCAGGGCTTATCCAGTCAGCAAGAGCCGCAGACCCCAGCATGTACACTTGTGTCAGAAGAGATGAGGTGGCAGTGTAGGAATTCTCTTTTGTTTGTTTTGTTTCATTGAGACAAGGTTTTATTATGTAATCATCCAGGCTTTACTCATAGTAATCCTCCTGTCTCAGCCTCCTGAGGGCTGGGATTATAAATGTAATACACCATACCCAGCAGCAATCCTACTTCAAATGCATCCATGTTTTACCACCTCCTCTCCACATGGTTCAGGCTACCACTCTCTCCACAACTTCTGAATTAGTCTGCACTCTTCCCCAACAATTCTTTTTTATTTGATTTTGTCTTTTTGAGACAGGGTCTTTTTTTTTGAACCGGGGATTGAACTCAGTAAGCGCTTATTCTATTTAGCTATCTCCCTGGCCCTTGAGACAAGGTCTTGCTATGCTGTTTAGGCTGACCTTGAGCTCACTTTCTAGTCCACAGTGGACTCGAACTCCCAACAACCCTCCTGCCTCAGCCTCCTGAATGCTGGGATTATAGGAATGCGCCACCATGCCTGGCTTCTTTCCCAGCAGTTTATTCTCCACTCTTCAAGTGACAATGAATCATGTTCTATCAAGGTTCTGCCTAAATGTTGGCTTCCCACTATATTTAAAATAATCTCCAACCTGGGCCATGCTGTTACCAATCTGCCTCCAAACCCCAGGACCTCTACCCTTGCGATTCACCAAGTTTGAAACATTTTGCCCTTCAACTCGTGGGTTCACCTAAGTCAGGCCTTAGCGCTACGCTCATTGATTAAGCACCCAGATGGGTCCCAGTCTCTGTCATCATCATGTTGCGGCAGCACTGAGATTTGAACGGGGCTGGGGGTGGGGGGCCCATTAGCTCAGGTGTTTAAGTGCCTGCTGAAACAAAGCAGTCAGGCCCAAGATGCTGTGGTTCAATCCCCTCATCCTCAAGCCAAACCAGACCTGCCCTGAGGCATCCTGAGAGCCCTGCCCCCCCCCAAAAGAGATTTGAACCCAGGAAGGACATCAGGCACCTAAGACAAGTCTCCTGGGCACAGGCCTAGCTTGTTGTTTTGACCACTTAGCACTATTTAAAATTAACTTGTGAGAGGGCTGGCCAGACAGCTCAGCAGATTAAAGGGGTTTAATCTCCAGCATGCCATGCTTGCCTGTAATCCCAGCGCTTGGGGGGTGAAAACAGGAAGATCACTATGAGTCCGATCTGTGTAGTGAGTCCCTGTACTAAATAAAGAAATAAAATTATCTTGTGAAAACATTGTTTGTTTTTGTTTTTGTTTTTGTTTTTCAGAACCAGGGATTGAACTCAGGCCCTTCCACTTGTCAGGCAAGTGTTTATTCTACTGAGCCATCTTTCTGCCCTCCCCCCCACAGAACACTGGATTTTTTTTTTTTTTTTTTTTAGAACCGGGGATTGAATGCAGACCTTTGTGCTTGCCAGGGAAGCGCTTATTCCACTGAGCCATCTCCCTAGCCCCTGTTTTGTTTTGTTTTTTGAACACTGATGTTATGCAGTGAAGCGCTAACCTGATTCTAGAACTGAAAAGCCACGTAAGACTGTTCAAATTAAAATTAGATTGTTTTTTCTTTATATATTTTTGCTGTCCCAAAGAATATAAGTTTCCAAGAGCAGGGACCTGCTCGTTACTGTACCTAACACACAGCAGGCAGGGTCTCAACAGACACTTGAATTTGTAAAGCGGCAGGGCCGGTGATCTTGTAAAAAGCGTCAGGATTTGAGTCTGGTGCGGTGGTGCACGCCTGTAATCCAAGCACACGGAGGCTGAGGCAGGAAGAGCACTGCGAGTTGGAACTCAGCCTAGGCTACAATAGCGAGATCCTGTTTTAAAAAAGAGAAAGGAAGGGGCCAGGGAGATGGCTCAGTAGAATAAGCGCTTCCCTGGCAAGCACAAGGGTCTGAGTTCAATCCCCGGTTTCGAAAAAAAAAAAAAACCAGGAAAGTGGGCAGGGCGCAAACACGCCTGCCTGGCAAGGGTGAGGCCCTGAGTTCCATTCCCGATACTTGGGAGGCGGGGAGGAATATAAGAAAAGCTTCAGGGTTTGGGAGACGGCTTAGTAGAATTAGCGCTTCCCTGGCACGTGCAAGAACCTGAGTTCAATCCCCAGATCGGCAAAAAACAAAACAAACAAACAAACAAACCCCCTCAAAAAACAAGAAAAGCTTCAGGACCTTCTTACTGTGGGGCCAGTGTAATGCCCTACAGACAAGACAAGGAAAGGGTGTGGCACCGGCCAGAGATGGCGTCAGCCTGCGAGGTTTCTTGAATAATTCACCATAATAACAATAAGCCTCAGGAAAGGCTGGGTTGCAGCCAAAATGACTCAATGAGATAAAAGAGATGGACACCAGGCTTCCCACTGGGACAGCTTCTTGGCACCGGGTGTATCCCCATCCTGAAGCTCCCTAAGGAGTCAGCTCAGGAACCTTCTCAGCTTCGGTGGAGTGCAGTCACGGTGGGAATTCAATCCCCTCTACGAGTACCTCCCAGTACTCAACCGACCCGATCTTTCCTACTGTAGATCACGAATACCCTTTCGCTCCCATTGGGCTACAACTGGTGAGGGAAAGTTGTTCGGCTCGAGAAGAACCAATGAGAAGTGAGGAAGGGTCCTGAGTCCCGCCTCCAGGGAAACGTCAATCTCTCTTTTCGAGAGCGGCCCGGCCCCGCCCTGGCCTCTGGTTTGCGACTGCGCATCTCGGTGTCGCAGCAGCTTTCTGGGCCGCCTCCCCCAGGCGCAGCTTCAAGCCCTGCCCATTCGCCTGTGCAGGCTGCAGTGGGGTTTCCCCGCGT